AGTAAAAACAAAAATATAAATATAAGTATATATATAAAAGAATTCAAGTCCTCCTGGACGTCCGAGACGCGTTTCGCCGGTAGGCTTCCTCAGTCGGTATGTGTTCCTGTGTTTCTGCTCTTCTTTTATAGCTGGATAAGGGCTCTGTAATTATAGATTAGTTGCGGCTGAGTTCCGCTTTCGTCATTTCCGCTTTCGTCATTTCCGCTTACGTCATCACTCGGCGCCGTCGCTTTTTGATGTCCATATATTGTTAGTCTGCTGGCGCCATATTAAGTTAGGGCAACAACGTCTATATACACATGTACATCGTTTCTCAAATCGGGAAACGACTGGAGAAAGCAGACAGAGCATATGAACATATAGTTAATATTAAATAAGAGTGCTTTTTGTTTACATTTAACATCATTAACAGAAAAATAATATTTCATACTCATGCATAATTTTAAAATCTCATCTTATAACTTGGTGTATATAGGTTATAATTATTTTTAAACTGATGTGAATATATTAAATTCAAATACACTTTGGGATCTTTTTAAATCAATGGATTAATATATTGCCTTTCAAATTCAGTTACCTATATTAAATTTATGAACTCTTTCAATGTTCAAAATAAAAAAAAATAAAAAAATCATCAATTCAATTAAATTTGTCTTATTTTAATTCCCCTATAGTTTGATCATTATTTCATCTATACAAATACGATTAGATGTTTATTAGCACATTAAATCCAACCCAAATAAAGGTCCATATGTCAGAAAATAAAATAAAAGAAAAAGTACCCACACGTATATGAAGATGCACATTCTCGCGCATGTACACATACATGTATATATATATATTGTCTCATTCATCTTATAAAAAATGGCATAGCTTGAAATCGCTGTTCAATCCATGAGGTAGTAAAGTGTTTAAAGTGAAAATCCACCTCATTTCAGTACGGCCTATGTGTTGTACCAGGTCCTCACCTCTCCAATTGGGAGTAATTTTTTGTATACCCATAAATTGGATGTTTGTGGGATCTTTATTGTGTGTTTTAGAGAAGTGCAGAGAAAGGCTATGTTTCTCAAATCCATTACGGATATTCCTAACATGTTCTTGAATGCGTATATAGAGAGGGCGTATAGTACGCCCTACATACACAAGACCACAAGGACATACGATTGTATATATTACTTTTTTTAATGACATGTGATTAATTCATTGATCTTAAAAATATGATTTGAGTTCTTAGGGTGTGGGAATGTTGTAATATGTCTTTTTTTGTTATGAGTGTTCTTACAGGCTATACAACTTCCACATCCAAGGAAACCTTTTGCATTATTTAGAAAATGTGAATTTTCCTTTTTTCTTATATGATTACGTACTAGTGTTCTATTGAGGTTTGGAACTCCTCGATAGACTACAGTAGGTTTTTCTGGAAGTATGTAATTTAATGTGTCATCACTTCTAAGAATACTTATTTACAATCCTTTTAATTTGTTTATTTTTACAGTTGAAATCCAATATAAGAGTAGGTTCATTCATATTGGTCTTTTCAGCTGTATCTTTGTATGTTAATAAAGAAGATCTATCCCTTTCTCTGACTTCTTCATAAGCCTCTTTTAATAATTGATCTTTATACCCTTTTTCTTTGAAATTTTTTATAATGATGGATGCCTGATTTTCAAATGTACATACATCTGTACAGTTGCGCTTTATCCTAAGTAGTTGTGCCTTGGGAGCATTAAGAAGCCAAGAGGAAAAATGGCAACTGGTTTCTTGTATATAGCTGTTTACATCTGTTTGTTTAAAAAAGGTGCTAGTCTTTAATTTGTCATTCTCTACATATATGTTAAGATCGAGGAAATTTACCTGGGTTTTACTGAAATTGGTGGTTAATTTAATCCCCCAATCGTTAGACTCAAGGTGGGTTAAAAAAGTTAAAAGAGACTGTTCATCACCCCTCCAGATGAAGAACAGATCATCGATGTATCTGCGATTGGTCACGAGGTTCGCCCCCCATCTGTCATCATTATAAATGAATTGTTGTTCCCAATGAGACATAAAAAGGTTGGCATAACTTGGGGCGAACCTCATGCCCATCGCAATACCACATACTTGAATATAGAAATTATCTCCATACCAGAAATAATTGTTCCGAAGTATCCAATCTATTCCCTCGATAATGAACTCTATTTGTTCTGGATGGAATCTATTGGATTGTTCCAAAAAGTTCTAGTTGCAGTACAGCCTCGATCATGGGAAATTATAGTATAGAGGGAAGTGACATCAGATGTTACTAGATAAAAATCATCTTCCCATTTAATATCTGTGAGGGTTTGTAAGATACTTATTGTGTCTTTTGCAGATTTTTGTCGATGTACTGAGATAATCGACTCGATATTGATCCGATCCCGGATATTATAGGTCTCCCTAGTGGGTTTGTTAAATCTTTATGTATCTTCGGGAGATAATAGAATACAGGTGTTTTGGGGTGTATTATATTAAGGAAGTCATATTCCTTTTTGTTTAATACATTCTTCAATTGGCCTTTCTCTATCAATGTATTGTAGCTTATTTTAATATCACTTATGGGATCTTTATTGAGCATTGTATATGTGTTGGTGTCGCTCAAAATTCTATTGGCTTCCTTAGTATAGTCTAAGTGATCTAAGAGGACAATCCCCCCCCCTTATCTGCAGGTTTTATAACCAATGTATTATCATTTTGGAACTGTTTAAGAGCTCTTCTTTCGTTTAAATTTAGATTATATTCATATCTATTTATTTCTTTAATTTTATTGATGTCTTGCATCACCATTTTTTCAAAGGTAATCATCTCCTCTGAAATACAGCATTTGGGGTAAAATTTTGATTTGTCTCTTAAATCTGTGTGGCTAAAATCTGATTGTATAGTAGGGTTCGATTTCTCGGGGTATTTACTAAAAAAAATTTTTAAACATAATTTTCTTTTAAATCGGTTTAAATCAATAAATGTATCAAATTTATTGATATTTTTCGAAGGTGCAAATTTCAGACCCTTAGCTAGCAATGAATTCTGGGCTGGTATTAAAACTCTATCTGTTAAATTAAAAATTCAATTTTTTCTAGTTATTGTTAATGTCTGTTTTTCCTTTCTCTTCTGTATGTAAGTTCCTCCTCTATTTCCCCGTCTTCTGGACTTCTCTGTCTCTTTCCTGGGGATTTCGATAGGACCAACTTTATGAACTTTTGGTGACATGTTACATCTGCTATCACTGACTTCTATGTAAGTTAATAAATCTGCATTGTCCATTTTACTTGGTTGCTATTTTATTGGATTGCACTTTGTCTTTCCTTACTTTGAGATACATAAAGCTCAGGATCTGGAACAGATCCTCATCTGTTATACTGAAGGCTCTTTTATCCTTTTTAATTTGTGAGTGGCTCTTTGGCGTATACGTTTAGCTATCACTTGGTCATATAGTTGTGCCATTTCTTCCCTGGCAGGACAACCCTTATTTTTGTACATTAATATTCATTGAAGATTCTTTTGAGGAGATCTTTGGGGTTTTCTATACCTGAAGGGATGTCCTTTATTAAATTGTTATATTAATCACACTTTTGTCACTAAAGCACTTTATATAATTGTGAGTCACTTTTTGAAATATTTTTGTGACTGCAAGGATAAAGCCTGTATAAATGAATAATAAATACAGGGTGGGCCAAAGCTCAGAGCAGGGTTTGAGGAGTTAATATATATATTTTAATAAACCAAATTCAAAGATATTACATACAATGAATGCTTAGCGTATGGAGATTTGTTTGACTAGTACGGATGATGACATCTTTTAAAGCCTGGCTCTTTAGATTACATTGTTCATAACATTAGTTAATGTTTGAGGCTTTAGCGCTCGAATTTGTGTACGTATATTCTCCATGAGCTGCTCAAGGGTACGCGGTTTGTTCATGTACACTCGCTCTGTCAGGTATACCCACAAGAAGTAATTGGGAGCTGAAAGGTCAGGCGCACGTGGTGGTCAATTCATATGGGAATTTCTTAAAAATTATCCTCTCGCTGTTCAATTGTCTCAGGAGGACCATCGTTAGTCCTTCATGAAATTATCCATGATGAATCTCCCAAGACTCAGTTATAATATGCACCTGGAACAAAAAAAAAAAATGAACTACTAACAAATAAGTTAGTTACCTGTCAAACCCCATCTGAATTTAGCCCCACCTTGTATATCTTGGTTCTGACAGACAGTAATAAGACATTGCTATTTTGTTAAGGTACACACAGAGCTGAAACCAATATTACAAAAATAGGTTAAAAAAAAAATAGCCGTGTATTACTGGTCCTCAGAATGGCCAGACCAAATGTGGAGTCTATAGAAGACGAAATGGCAAAAGGGTAGTCAGAAAACTAACCTACGTCAAAACCAATATAGAGGTATACGAAAACGATATGCCAGGTTACGTCAAGGATAATTAAAATCAGAAATGTAAGGATAAGCCAACACAAAAATGTCTTCCCTCTCCATGTGCATCAGCAAGCCTGATGCTGGTTCACCGGTTTCCCTTCCTTGCACCACTTTTAATAGGTTCTATCCACTGAATACCAGGAACACGCCACAAGACTTGCAGTTTGGGAGATGCTCTGACCCAGTCGTCTAACCACCACTATTTGGCCCTTGTCAACTTCACTCAGATCTTTTTGCTTGCCCACTTTTACTTATTCCAACATATGGAATTCAAGGACTGATTGTTCATTTGCTGCCTAATGTGGCAAAGATGCCTCTGCCACGTGTTCCTGGAGGAGCCTGCTGGCTAGCCTCCTTCCAAAAGACTGTGGGCCATGTAAAAAGACATGTTAAAAGTTAACTTCCATGGAAAATCTGAACCATTGAACCGATCTGAGTGATTTTTGGATATTATGGTCACTCAGATCAGAGCTATCTGGGGATGTGACTCATTATTGTTTTTTTTTTATTAATACGAGTTTGTAAAATTCCTGACTCAATTATCTCTCAGACACAGAAGAGGAGTATGTTGAATGTATTGCTTGTATGTGCCTCCTCCCTCCCCCTTTTTCCTGTCCTATTGTTTCCCCAGCAGGGTGTTGTCCCAGGGACACTGCCAGACCAGTTTAAACTAGCTGCTTTGTCCATCCTCAATCTCCCATCAGCCCTTGCTATTGTGAGACCCCACCCCTCCTTGTACTATAATATGCTATGTACCCTATTACATGGAAATGAGGCTGTTGGGGGTTAAAATGTGTGTATAAATTGTGAATGTTTGCCTGAATTAAACAGTCTACTCCCAGCACTAAGCCTTGGCTCATGTGTGGAGGAACAGCTATACTTGCTATACTTGCTATACCTGCAATACTCTCTGGAGGAGAGTTCTACTCACTGGGAGCTGGATCCAGGACTTGGGTCCAGGGTGGGTAGAGACGGCGAGACCCCAGCCAAGCTGTGGTGGCTAGGGGCTGGAAGTGCTTATGGTGTCCCAATGCAGTTCTTATGGTACTCATGATTACTAGGAAGTGTGAATTAGCGGAGGTACCCAGTTGGGGTACCAGGCGGTACGCCACACCTAATATTTCCCACCCCTTGATAGGTGCCATTGTAACAATATACTCATTCACTTCAACTGTCAGTGGTTTTAATGTTGGTACAGCATGCCCTAAATGTATGAGTAAAGGGTATAGCGTGCAATATATGTATAGGCAACATACACCTTTGATCTGTTTACGATTACACTCTATTATTCTTTTTTGGTTTCTTTTGTATTGTGTTAGCATCCAACTGTTTTTTATTTTTTGACCATTTGAGTGTTAAAAATGTCGGTAACATCTCTATGTCTCTACGAGGAGACTTGACCGGATTGTTGGTCATTATTTAAAGATTTTACCAACATTACATATTTTGTATTTGTTATAAAAGGAATGTGAAGAATGCAATTGACCTCTGGTAAACCACTGGTTTGATTTAAGGTCACGAAATGGATTTATATTTGTGCTTCGTTGTTCAACGGCTGTATACAGCTTTTCATAAGGAGAAATTGTGCACTTCCTCTGATTTTCTATATCCCGTCTGAATCCACAGACTTTACCTAGCACTTCACTGACATTTGCAGTAAGAACATACACACACACACACACATCATGAAAATCCTGTAATTACAATGCAATGACGAGAACCTCTCTTCCCCCACCCAATACAACACTAAAAACAGTAATCACAACAATGCAGTGACAGCATCCTTCAGCGGTGAAGTATATTATTTGCAATGACATTTAGATTTCAAGGTATTTTCCCTCCTTTAAAGTGTAGGTTGGAAGCTGGTGTTAAAAAGAGAATGAAATTGTGTGTGATGTTGTTGAGCTGAGTAAGTGCTCTTGTCTCAATGGAACGCATTCAAGTTAGTATGAGAACTCAAACAGATCAGAAAAGCATCCATTCTCTGTGACTGACATTATCTCCTCCTGCGTACAAACCAATTTCTAGAAGAACTCTGCAATTTGAAAGTTGAAGCTATAACATACAACCAGGGAATTATTTTCCTTCTGCAAATTGTAGGCTTGTCATTTAAAAGGGTTTAATATTGCTGCAAAGTCCATACTTTGCAGTCTTTTTATTCATTATAACTGCCTCGTTTGACAATCGGTAACAATGTGTTTGTTTGCGTTAAGTAACTGCTATATGAATCTTTTATTAGAACGGGGTTTTATCTAAAGTGTTTGCGTTGGGTCTTGGGTCATTTAAAAATAAAGAAAAAGAAAACGACTTCAATGTCAATGAAAACATGTTTTTTGGCCACGCACGCAGCCTATGCATTCAAAATTAGCTATTAAATAGGCCAATTAGGGGCAGGTACTTACTCAATTTGGTAAAAGTCACAGTATTTAAAGGAACACTACAGGGTGAGGAACACAAACTTGTATTCCGGACCCTATAGTGTTACAACCACCATCTAGCATCCCCTATACCAGTGATGGCGAACCTTTTTGAGCCCGAGTGCCCAAACTGTAATACATGCCAATTTTTTTCCCTCAAAGTGCCAAAACGGCATTTAAACCTGAATACTGAGGTTTAAGTTTAGAAAAAACAACTCATACAGTTGTCCGAACTAATTAACATCTCTGTGTGTGTATTAAGCAGTTTGTGTGTGTGCTCGGCAGTCTGTCTGTATGTGTATTTAACAGTCTGTCTGTGTACTTAGCAGTGTGTCTGTATTTAGCAGACTGTTGAGTACACAGTCTGCTGAATACACACACAGACTGCTAAATACACACACACACAGACTGCTAAATACACACACACACACAGACAGACTGCTAAATACACACACACACACACAGACAGACTGCTGAGTGTACACACACAGACAGACTGCTGAGTGTACACACACAGACAGACTGCTGAGTGTACACACACTGCATTGAGGGGTACAGTGTATGTGTTTGTGTGTGGAGTGATGTGTGTGTGGGTGGGGTGATGTGTGTGGGTGGGGTGATGTGTGTGGGGTGGTGTGTTTGTGTGTGGGGGGGTGGTGTGTGTGTGGGGTGATGTGTGTGTGTCTTTTTGTGGGGTGATATGTGTAGGGCAGGGGTGCTGTGTGTATGTCGTCCCCCTTCTGTTTTCCATCCCTCCCTTATTTTTTTTCTCCCATCCCACACTCAATTTTCTCCCCCCATCTCTCCCTCAGTCTCCTTCCCCTCCCCCATCTCTCCCTCAGTCTCCTTCTCCCTCCCCCCATCTCTCCCTCAGTCTCCTTCTCCCTCCCCCATCTCTCCCGCAGTCTCCTTCTCCCTCCCCCATCTCTCCCGCAGTCTCCTTCTCCCTCCCCCCTCGATTTCTCCCTCAGTCTCCTTCTCCCTCCCCCTCATCTCTCCCTCAGTCGGCCTCCCTCCCCATCATCTCTCCCTCAGTCTCCTTCCCCATCCTCCTCAGTCTCAGCTCTCCCTCCCCCATCTCTCCTCGGTCCTCCTTCTCCCTCCCCATCTCTCCTCGGTCTCATCTCCTCCCCATCATCTCTCCCTCAGTCTCCTTCCCATCTCTCCCTCCTGATCCTCCTTCTCCTCCCCCATCTCTCCCTCAGTCTCCTTCTCCCTCCCCGGCATCTCTCTCTCAGTCTCCTTCTCCCTCCCCATCTCCTCAGTCCTCCTTCCCCCCATCTCTCCCTCAGTCTCCTTCTCCCTCTCCCTCAGTCTCCTTCCCCCCCTCCCCCATCTCTCCCTCAGTCTCCTTCTCCTCCTCCTCTCCCTCAGTCTCCTACCTTGTAGCGTGGCCGAGCGCCGCGGAGCTCAGTTTCCTGTACCCGGCGGACAGGAAGTGCTCTCTCTGTGAGCACTTCATTTCCGTTCGCCCGGGTACAGGAAACACAAGTTCCTGTATCGCGGTGCGCTCGGCCACGCTACACAGAGTGCCTGGCAGGACGGAGCGCTATGCGCTCACCTCCTGCTGGTCACTCCGGCTTTGCGCCCGCTGGGCCGGTGCGCCCTAAGGCGGCCATTTGTGCCGCCTTATGGATGCGCCGCGGAGCGCACGGCAACCTATGGCCGCGTGCCCACAGAGGGGGCGCGGCGTGCCACCTGTGGCACGCGTGCCATAGGTTCGCCACCACTGATATAGAGCATCCCAGGAATCTGTCATCTTCTAAACTCAGAAGGAGATAAGCATGGCTTTATACTTACTACCACTAGGCCCCTTACCATAAATAACTGATTCAATAGTGCTGGCAGAAATAAGAGCAGATGTGATAAGAGAGATACACAAGTGGGGACACTTTAGGTGAAATGGAAAAACAAAAAATATTGTGAAGCACAAACACTTACCCATATACCCATAATATACCCATACCCAAATATACACTAACCCTCCACATAAATATACCCCTGCATTCACACACATACAAACACTCTGCACAAATACACTACTGCATTCCAATTTAATCATTGACATTCCACTCCAAAATATGTTACATTGACAGTTAAAGGTACTTCACACAGATACATCCCTGAATTCACACCACAGCAAACTTCTACACATAGGAAAGATTTATAAAATCCTGAAAAAGTATATCTATGACAATTAGTATGGTCATCAAAGATTTTTTTACTTGATGTTTCCTTATATATAAACAATATATTTTAGTAATGGTTAGCCATGAGTTTGTTTATAATGAAAATGAAACAAACAAAAAAAACAAACACTAAAAAAAAAACTGTAGCTTTAAAAATAACAAAAGTATCTTAGCTAAGCTCTCATCTTTTTTAGCACTTATGGCATTAAAAAGTATATGAAGATCTGTATTTTTTTTTTTTTTGTAATTTCCTGGTTTATTTCTAATACTTACAGAAGGAGTGTGTGTTGTGTGTGAAATTAAATGCAGCATAGAACCTAAAATTGTGGAATTACTGTTTGTTGGTAACTACATAGTAGCTTTGTCAGCTGCCATTTTGATTACCTGCAGAAACCTATCTTATTCCATCTGCAGTTTCTGTGAATGCGCTCACCCATATTTAAAGTGTTCTGGCTCAGTGCTTTGGATTATCTATTAAAACTGCCCTGCTTCCACCTTTGTTCCAATGCACTGCCCTCCATACTTAGACATCTCAGCACATCAGCAGATTGCTGATAATGATAAAGGACAAATTCACTGGCGCTTCAAAAAAGCAATATTGTAAAGCACAAAGCCACACAAAATGCTTCTTAAATTTATTACAGAATCCTTTGCCTGTATGTCTCCTACACAGCTGAACACAACACTGTTCCTGTTAAGATTGTTTCATGGTATCTCTTTATCACAAATGCTTATGAAACATGCCTTGTACAGGGCTGCGTTCGAGATTATTCATAAGTGCCATAAGAAAATGGTAAGCTTTGACCAAATTAGTCTTCGTATAGGCACATAATTTACAAACCGTAATTGTATTTAAAAATGAGAAACCACAAATCTACAAGCGAGAACGCAGTCTGCTGGATTTTGCATATTTACATGAAATAGATTGTTAAAGTCTCATTAGTGTTTTCAGCTATGTCTACGGAAACAGTTATGCAAACTGCTACATATACATGTGCCCAGAAGGTAGATTACCAGTTTGTGTAGAGTACAAAGTTCATGATGCTTAGACAGCCTTCAGGATGGTCGGGAGTTGTGATTTGTCAACAACTAGAGATGGCCTTTTCTTTGTTTCTCTCCTGTTAACCGTTGTTAAAGGGACATTTCACACTTACAGAAAAAAAAGTAGT